GTATTGCGTATAACGTTGTGTAGGCCAGGTGTGCCGCGTAGTCCGCGGAATGGCAAGAGTCAACAAGAGTATCCCCTCGTAGTCTTTTCCGCAGGGAAAAAAACCATTCCGCGTAGTTCGCGTAGGCTCTCTATGTCAGTATAAGAAATTTTAGAAGGAAAAAACAATGCTCATGTGTGCATTGAGATTACCTTCCTCTGCAGATGCTCTAAGCCTGCTCTGTGTTTTTGATAGCATTTGCTCATGCACCGCGTGTGTGTTGCACATATGTATAGAAAATGATTTCCTCCGGCTGCCAAGTCTTCGCAGGGCAGCATGCTTGCGCAGTAGGATCATGGCACTGGCAAGAGCTTCCTTTTCCTCACACAACAATCAGAGAAGGGGCGGAACTTACGTGCTCAGACACAATTCGTTGCAGCCTTGGATAGACTCGGCTGTATTAAGCGACTCTCTTGGCAAATCTGAATTCATGTGGTTATCTTGCCACGGCTCTGCAAAGCCAGTATCTTCAGAGTGCAAAGACGCGAGGTGCTTTATGGAGACACTGATTCCATGTTCGTTCGATTGCCTGGGAGATCCAAGGACAGAGCACACAGCGTGTGACATCCAAACGTAGGAGCAAATTGCTGATCAGGAAGAGGCCTTCAAAGAAGGAGCAAGGATCGCCAAAGAGGCAGGAAAATGCATTACTGTATATTACTGTGCAGCAAGGACATGTGCCCAGCAAGGTGACCAGCCACAATCCAACGCCCGTTGAGCTCCAGATGGATAAAGTGTACTGGTGGAGACCCTGGACTAGTTGCTGCGCTGTGACCCGAGCTTGGACTCGTGACATTCTTCACGCCGCTTTCATCGATCGTTGGATCAACTTCCTGAATGGTTCGTGAGTGAAGGCGACATTTTCGCGGCGTTCCCTGACCGAGGCCGTGCTGTCTGGTGTCCAAGAAGCGCCCTGAGCCCGGAAATGCGGTCCCGCGTGTACTTCGTGCTTCCCCGGATTTCCCTGGAATGCAGCCCGGATAGGATATGTTGGGCACGCGTGGACATCACCCTCTGATGTCACCATCTTAGTGATTTAGAGCGGTAGAGCCGTGGCCGTAGCCAACTCGCCGAGCAACTCATCCTCAGGCAGCGCCTGTTTTCGATGCCAAGGGCATCGAAACCGTCCGTCTGATCCTTGGATTAGCTTGAAGCCATCCTGATCATGCAACCAGCGTGGTGGCAGAGCACGACGCGACAGGAAGGGACCAATGCGCAGCAACGACGCTTGGATTGACGGGCTGTGGCAGCTGTGTTATGAGTATGTGCTGCGTGTTGAGCTTCAGGCAACACGTTCTACGAGGTGCTCTCGAAGTGCCCCGCAGTCAAAAGCAGCAAAGCCAAAAGTCCAATATTCAACCCATGGCTTTTCAGTACAGGTCTTCTTCGAGTCAAGAGGCGATCTTTCCGTCCTCAAGTGGTCTTCTTAAGGGTTCTGCAGTTGTGTGTGACTTTGCCATGAAGTCCCTCAGCCTCACAAGTTAGCCCCTCAGGCAATACATCCGGAGGCACGTGGACAGGAGCCTTGATTTATGCAAGTACTTTGAGGCACTTGTGATGACGTATCTCGCATTCTTTTGCATTGGTCCACACAAGCGAAGTCAACGGAAAGTGGAGCCGCATCAGCACATCCCAGGAACCGCCACAAGCAGAAAAGTCATCCGAAGATCATCTGCCGGCTGTCCTTTAACCCGCTGAGCAGTTTCGAAGGGGTTTCAGCGCATGTCGGAGGAAACGCCACCCTTCATGAGCAATCTGATGCATCTGACGCATAAGTATGACACTAACACACTACTTACTACTGTGTGTATCATGAAGCTTCAAATTTTGCACTCCAATGGGCATGCTTAGTCTCGTCAAGGTGCAAACTGAAGGAAAACGCGGCTCAGTAGCATTTGGAGCGTACGAAGCGAACGTGGAAAACACACGACCTCAAGCCTCAAGCAGGGATGACGCACAAGTACGAGTTGATACTACCTTCTATTGCTGTCCAGATATTTCAGCAACATAGGGCTTCAAAGGATACTGTATGATCTGTGGTCCAGCCCGTTCCACGACAGATCTAGTCTAGCTTGTATAAACCTTCTTTAATTACCGTCTGCACATGTAAAAGGGCATGGCTGTCAGTGTGATATCCCTGGCAACTTATGCTGACGAGCAGAGTAGTGAGGGCACCTTCTGGCTGGATGGAATGAAGACTCAAGTCATTCTGAAAGCGCGAGGCAGCCGTGCCTGCTTCAGTCCTAGCACTGGCAGCAGAGAAAACTATGCCGCCTGCAAGCAAGGCATAGGTTCACGATGGATTGGAGCATCTCGTCGGCCAACCTGTGTGGTAGGTCTATACGCTAACCCCAAATCTGGATTTGTGCAGAGACCCAGCCGGCAAGAACTTTGTAACTTGCTATGGTTCATCACGGTTCCTGGCAAAGGGAGGCGCGTGCCAACTTTTTGGAACTGCTTTGCGTTTCTTTCTGGTTCGATTCACCATCGAGCGTTGGGCGCTAGGCAATTTCTAACACATGCCCAGCTCATGAACGCAGTACCCCCCGACTCCAACCCTAAAGCGAAGCCCGATCTGATGTGACATCTCGATGTCAGATATCCAGCTCAAAATCTTAGCTGTGCAGCGCAGGATGCGTGAGGGCCGCTTCAATCTTCATGACTTCATCTTTCATCACGAGGCGTTCGGCAGGAATCCCAGGCACAGAAAGATTTGGGAATGTGGGAAGATCAGGTCCGACCACCTGACGAGTACAAGGGCCTTGGACCATTGGCGGCTCAGGCTCACAAGCATCCGCAAGCGATCTTGTTTGCCCAGCAAGGGGGAAATCTTTGGCAGGCCGTACGTCGCAGTGGCGCCTCGTGGCCGTCTCCTGGCGAGAGGCTCCGAGAGCCAGTGTCCTTATCATGCTTTGTTTCCGGCATTCTAGCAGCTTCTAGCATGTAAACCTCTACACCATGTTGGCTCACCAGCCCGCTTGTTCATGCACGGGATTCAATTGCAGTGAATTCATTACTCTCACTTTTGCGGCAGGTTCTCCTTTGTTGTTGCGGAAGGCTGGAGCCACGCGTACTGCATGGGGCGGCTAAGGTCATCCGCCGAGCTGTCGCTGCTGTCTTTCCACGCTTGGCTCAGGCACAGCACCAGAGAATCCGAGACCAGTAGCTCATGTATGAAGCAACCAGATGCGACAATAGGTATGGTGGGTGTGAAGCTAAAGTGCGTCGTCAGTACGTTGCAAAGAGCCTCTGTCTGATGTGGCACAAGAGTCTGGGCACACCGTCCCCATGCCGATGAACTGAGCACGTTTCTGCCATGCCAGCGGAAATCTTCTGGGGCTGTGCTGCAGCAGCTCTGGGAGGAGTCAGTTTCGGCCCTGCCAGCTGCGTTTCGTTTCATGACGATGACCAAGCAAGATGTTGCAGGAGCTGGTATTTTCTGGCCTTTGAGGTCACGACGCCGCCCAAAACCGGGGAGCCAGTCGCGAGATGTTTGCGATATGCTCAAGCTCAAGATCCTGTCGTCAGCTGCATGATTGATGATTGAAGTTGCATGCTGCTACATTATCCTGGTGTGACTACTGGTGATCCTTGCGAGTTGCCATTGGCACATAGTATGAGTAATCGCTACGCTATGCCATCCAGAATCCTTTCTTTGTGTACTGCTGGGTTTGAGGTCTGGACTGGTGTTCGGACAGAACGTTGACACTCCATTGCTTGCAGGTTCTTGGCTGCTATTTCATTTCTATGACTTTGCAAAGTACCCTATATCCTGTGTTCGTGGCCCTTGCCTGGAGCCTGTGGCCTTCCGATAAGGGGCCGTGGCTGGACAGCAGAGGCGCCAATCTTCACAGCAACACTTGCAAAAATGTAAAGTTACACATGGGCGCGGTGAGCCTACCCATGCCGCTGTTGGCTGTGCATTCCATGTAACATCCATGTAACAGACTTCATATTTGTCTGAAGCGTCAAGTCGGAGGTGGGCCTTTCAGCGACCCCAGCCTACTTGGGCTGCGGATCCAGCTCTATTTGTTCTTCGGTTACCTCTGCAACGACCTGCCAATGACTTGGGACAATCCGATGATGCGTCTTCATCACGTTGTTTGCGGCTAGTCCTGCATGTATTCATGTATCAGTCGTAATTCGCACCTTGATCCTACAGAGACGCAGCTTTGAAGGCATTCTTGGTATTCTTGTCGCTCTGCATGCTGCTGAAGCCTTTGTCCCCACTGTGTTGGGGATTTTTGCGCTGGAATGCGGCAGCTTCTTTTACAACGCCTGGCTTATTGATGAGACGCTTGGCAGCGCATGTGGTGAACAACTAGTTTGAGAATAACTTTGCTTTCGTGTGCCTTTTGCTGGTTTGATGGGGAGGCGGCCTTTGCATCTCAACATGTGATAGCAGCCTCGCCGCTTGTGCTTGCAAAGGACAGTCCGTGATGCCCTAATCCTTCCCTGGTGGCCTCACTCACGCAGAGTTGTGGCGGCAGCCTATCGATTCGGAATGACGGCTTCCAACCTAGCACTTTGCCAGCAGCGCATTAAAGATATTCCGGTTGAATGCTTCAGATTTGCATCTCCGTTTGAATGATGGCGCTCTCGCAGTCTTTCGCCGTCCCCGATGCAGAATGCAACCCCTGACTGGTTTCGGGTAGCTCCGTCAATCAGGCAATAAAATCGTGTAGTCCAAACGCCATCCAAGACCTCCTCAGACAATAGCTGATTCCACATTTAGGTTGACCTGCTTGCATGGTGATTTCGCCAGCGCCCAATCCTATTTCAAGTTGGTAGAGATGAGAAGTTTGGGTGTATTATGTCCTGTATACGAGGGCAATAATGTTTTGATGACCAGCGGAATCTGCAGTCGTCGAGTTGCAATGTATCCCAACACCAATCAGTAAGGACAAGATTATCACGTGCAAGGTTTGCCTTACTCGTATAAGGCAAGCCGGTCAAGTGGCTTAAGAACAGTTTTGCATCATGATTATCACTCATTGCTCTTGAAGTTGCCAACCACAGGTGGCTGCCCGCCTTCTTCTTCAAGTCATTTGCACCAACGGCATCGACGAGCACTGGGGCTTCAGCTGCTTTTTCGTGCCTCCTCTTGACCTGTCCTGACCTGTCCTGTGAAGCGGTTACGTTGCACATCGTTGCACACTGTGCTGTGACCGATGACGCCTCAGGCAGCTTGCGGATGTCCTCTCTTGTTCCTGCGGCAGAAGGAAGTCATCTACGCAGAGAAGCCACCTTCTGCTCTCAGGTCATCCTGATTCCCGAGCCACAGGTCCGACAGGTTGCCAGTCAAAGCGAATTTGTGGTCTAATGGGTCCATGCCAGGTGGCCGTCTGGCCGTTCTTCATGTTCTTCGATGTTTCTGTGTCAGTTATCGTCTGGCATCTCTACAATCCACCTTGGAGTTGATCGCTCTTCTGTTTCAAGATCAAGAAGACATCCTTGGACATTGGTAATGTCATACCTTACAGGTCAGGCATCGGTACAAACTCTTTCCGCTTTCAATTCCTACTCATCCAGTGCGAAGCAGGAGATGTTAGCGAGCATTGGCATAGGCATTTGAAGTCTTACCTGCGCTCGCATTTGCAGCAGATGACATCAGTATTCGCATCAGCATTGAACACAGGGGTTGAGAAACCATGACTGCTATGCATTAGGAATGCACTCGTGAGGCAGCTGAAGACTTGAAAGCCTCCTGCTAACGATTCTTAACGCTACAAGCAGCGGCTTTCTTCAGATCCTTGGAAAATGGCTGATGAGCCTTTGTATCCATTTCTGAGGACTCGCATCATGCGGTGGGATCGGAATTCAATTTGGGCCTCTGGCCTCAAAACTGCTGATGAAGAAAGCATGGCAGGACTTTACTGAATTTAAAGCAGGGCCTGTGTCGGGACCACCCAGATGCGCAGGCTTGATTTCAAACTGCGCTTGCTTGCCTGCGACCTCGAAAGGTATTTGACTCAAATCAGAGGTTTCCAGAGGAGGTCTCAAAGTTTCGGTTGTGCACGGGGAAGAAAATGGAAAAAACATAGCAGGCCTTCAACGAGCGTGAGCAGTGTTGACTACAGAGGCTCTGTGGTTGCCTTGAGAGTCTGCCAAAGCCCGTGTTTGGAATGCTGAGGGCAATGGTGTTTCAGAGTTTCGCTATCCGGCACTCCTGCCCGTCACAATGCGCAACTCATTTCTAGCTACAAAACGTCTCTGCAGCCAAGACCTTCTGAAAGTCTCGAAAGTGCAGACCTTCCCTGCTGCCATATTCAATGTTTTTTCCGGTGTTGTGGTCTACTTTCAAAACAGGGTGTTCGCGGCAAGCAAACTTTTGCAGCCAGTCCAGCTCAACGGTAGTAATGTTGCGCAACTGCATCCCAGAAGCGTTTGAGGTTTCAGCGGCTTTCAACACCTTTGGGCTTGCTTTCAACTAGCATTCAGTGTTGCGCTGTTCGCATTGAGCTGGGCGGCGAGCACGAGCTCACACTGCTTGCGTAAACTGGTGTAGAGCGCTGAGGTTGCCTCGCTGGCCAGCAAGTCTCCACGCGCTGTGAATTGCGGACTCCACAGGTCTTCGAGCCATGCAGAAGCCAACAACCAAGCGGAGGGACGTTGGCGTCACGATTCATTACGAAATGTCTAGAGAAATGCTGGGCGGCAGGTGACTCCCGCCTCTTGCATCATGATGATTCATGATGCAGAGATTCTCTCCGAGGCCTAGGCCCGAGGCTCCTGGAAAATCCCGACGCTTGGCCATGGCACAAGGCTTGCCAGAGCCCAGACACTTGTCAACCAAAGAAAAAGCTGCCATGCCTAATGTGTGTTGCTCTGACTGCATTTGGTGGCGACTGTAGGACCCCACACATGGCTAGCACCTCCATGATGAGTTGGCTGTCTACAGAAGTTCTGCTGATATAGTTTTCAGAATTGCACATTCAGGATAGGCAGGCGTTCGCACTAGTCCGATTTTGAAGTAGGTTCAGTGGGAACATGCTATTGGAGCGAGGAGCCAAACAACTCATTGGTACAGGTAGTACTCATTTTCAGTCCAATACACGTCGCATACTGCCCGGTCTTGAATGCCGAACTGGGTACTGCACCAGCTGATTGGAGTTTGCACCTTGACGACCCTACTCAGCAATGTTATTGGTTGCGCGGCATAGCTCCTAGTCAATGGACTCACCTTAAGGCTTCTGTTCGCACTGATTTGTTGGGGCACGTTGAGGTTGGGGGATTGTGGGCCAACGTTGACGTGTTGGATGGCCTGCACTTTTATTTTGGGGTTGATGCTAGCGGGGGTTCTAGAAGCCGCGACCCTCGTACGCGTTTGTGTAGCTGGGGTATCGCGGCGGTTGCTTTGGATGCTACAGGGCGTTGGCAATGCATTGCGTGGAAGAGTGGGCTTTTGACGGGCAATACTCAATCAGTGCCTAGAGCGGAGTTGTATGCTATTGTGGTGCTGTCTCGCCATACTAGTGGCGCTGTGTCGTTTTCTAGCGACTCCCAACTCA